CACAAACATAAACGCACACACACCCACACACCACACAAAAGAACCACATAACACACACACAAACAACGCACAAACACAAACGCGCACATACACACAAACACAAACACAAAGCCACACACACACACAAACACACACACACAATCACTCACACGCACTCACAAACACACAAACTCACAAGACGACACACACACACACACGCACAACCCCCACACACACACACACAACACGAGCATGAACACGATTACACACACAAACACACACACACACACACACACCCACGCACCCACGCACCCACGCACCCACGCACAAACGCACGCACGCACGCACGCACACACGCACGCACGCACACACGCACACACGCACACACACACACACCAACTTTCACACACACAGACACAACACACACACACAAACAAACACAAGCACACACCAAACACAAGCACAAACACAAACAGAAACACAAACGCACACACACACACACAACACACACACACACCCACACACGCACGCACGCACAATCAACCACACACACGCAAACACACACACAAACACACAAACACAAACACACAAACACACACACACACACAAACAGCACACAAACACAAACACAAACACACAAACACGAACACAAGCACACACACACAAACAAGCACACAAACACAAGCACAAATACACAAACACAAACACAGACATACAAGCACAACCACACACACACACACACACGCACACACACACACAGCACACACAAACACAAACACACACACACACACAGCACACATACAAACACACACACAAACACAAACACAATCACAAACACACACAAACACACACGAAACACACACAAACACACACACGAAACACACACACACAAACACAAACACAAACACAAACACACACACACACACACACACACGAACACGCAAGCAGAAACACACACACACACAAACACACAAACACACACACACACACCCACACACACAATCACTCACACGCACTCACAAACACACAAACTCACAAGACGACACGCACACACGCACAATTTTCACACACACAACACGAACATGAACACGATTACACACACAAACGCGCACACACACACACACACGCAACCACACACACACACACAAAAACACGCACCCAATCACACGCACCCACTCACACAAAAACACACACACACACACACACACACACACACACACACACACACACACACACACACACACCCACGCACCCACGCACGCACGCACGCACGCACGCACGCACGCACGCACGCACGCACGCACGCACGCACGCACGCACGCACGCACGCACGCACGCACGCACGCACGCACGCACGCACGCACGCACGCACGCACGCACGCACGCACACGCACACGCACACGCACACGCACACGCACACGCACACGCACACTCACACGCACACGCACACGCACACGCACACGCACACACGCACACACGCACACACGCACACACGCACACACGCACACACGCACACACGCACACGCACACACGCACACACGCACACACGCACACACGCACACACGCACACACGCACACACGCACACACGCACACACGCACAAGCACCACACGCAGACACGCAGACACGCAGACACGCACACACGCACACACGCACACACGCACACACGCACACACGCACACACGCACACACGCACACACGCACACACGCACACACGCACACACGCACACACGCACACACGCACACACGCACACACGCACACACGCAACACACGCACACACGCACACACGCACACACGCACACACGCACACACGCACACACGCACACACGCACACACGCACACACGCACACACGCACACACGCGCACACGCGCACACGCGCACACGCACACACACACACACACACACAAACGCACACACACAAACAGACAAACACGAACACCCACCCACCCACCCACCCACCCACCCACCCACACACACACAGAGGCACGCACACACACACACACACACACGGAGGCACGCAGGCACACACTCACAAACAGAGGCAGACACACATCACCCCTCACACAGCACACATCACACATCACACAACACACACACACACACCGCAAATGCAAATGCATACAAATACGCAAATATGCAAACACGCACACATACACAAACTTGGAAGCACACGCACACACACCCACACCCACACCCACACACACACACACACAAGCTGCGCAATCACTCACACACCGCACATAGCACACACACACACGCACACCTGCGCACACGCACACACCCGCACCTAGTCACGTTCTTGCAGAAGGGACAATTTGCTTCTGGCGTTGAGGTGTGGCGCTCTCTGGCGAATTGAGCTTCTACGCATCGATGGAGACAGGCATGGCACCAAGCGACTCATTGCACCCGGAACGGTTTGAGTGGCTGGCCAAGCGTGGTTAATGCTGTTATGGAGTTGCTCGAAGCACGGCATTTCTTGTTTCCAAAGAAGGAACAACGGAATGAAGGGCTTCAGCATGCTTGCAAGCAGTATCCGTGATTGTGCAAGACGCTGCCTGTTTAAGGGTCAGGGTACTGAGTGCAATTTCCCGCAGAGATGAAGGGAGCATCACGAAGCCAAGCAGATGCAACATGCCAGCCAGGCACCTTCGCCGACGCCCACTGGAATATGACCCACAAGTGAGGCTGAAGAGCCTGGAAGTTGATGAGGCCATTTCGAGTCAATTCGAAACCGAGTAGGCAGGCATATTAGCACCGATTTTGCCCCCCCAATTTTACAGGGCTTGCCATCGGAATATGCGGAGTCAATCGAGACTCGCAAAAACGAACGGCAGGCCACCTGCGCATCTTGGTAAAGCAGACGGGCAAAATGCAGCCGTATGCTTATGTGGAATCCCACCCGAGTGCTTTCTCAAGATTTGCAGTATCCTCCACGCAGCGCATGCTAAGTTTCTGCTAGTCGATGTCGGTTCTGCCTGGTGGCAATTTTACCGACCGCTGATAGGAATTCGACAGTGTCCTTGGAAGGAAAGTCGGGAGACTAGGCTCTCAAGGACCGCACTTGCTTGAGGGCAGCACCCTGCAACTCGCCAAACGAGACGCAGGGCTGCGAGGTGTGCTGGATTGAGCAACAATTCTTGGCCAATTCGTGGGACGCGTCAATGAGCTTGAACATTTTCTCCAAGCTCATTGACGCGAGATGCATTGCTCAACCCAAACTGGCCCAGAGTAATTGACTGAATTCAGCGCGCGACGATTTGAATCTTCGCCCAGGCTTGATTCATGCCTGCTTGATGGAAAGCGGGGCTTGCTGCTTCCAACGGTTTGCTGAGTACTAGTACCATGATTTCTGGCTTGTTCCATGAGATTGCTTGAGGTCTTGGTAGCGCCTACATATAATCGCCATGTCAGTGTGACGCAAAAGACAAAGGAACATTTGTCACTGCATCCAGCACGACTCATTGGCGACTTGTTTCAGCAAAGCCAAGGCCCTGAAGACCCAAAGTCCTCACATGGGATTGCAGCGGACCAAATGGCGTCCCAAAAGGATCCTAGGCGGTGCATCCTTGCTTTCACGCCTGGGCAATAGTCAAGACCTGCGGCGCTTTTGCCAAGCGAGGCAGGGTGCGCAGTGCGCATTGTGATTCAAGCCATCCTTACATTTTGTTTGCTGGTGTGGGATGAAATGGCGTGCCCCCGCTCACCGACTCGCCAATGCTCATATTTGAGGGTTGCATGGGTTCCCATGAGCGTATCGCTGGTCTTCACCAAAGGAGCCAGCGCCAAAGGCAGTTTTAAAGCCTTTACCCATGCTGTTTCCTCAGTTCACCACACCGGAGTGATGCAATGCGGAGTTGCCGGCCAGGCGTGGCGGCACATGGCACCATGGCACCTTCCAGAGGCTGGCACTGACCTAAAAATCGCAGCCCTTTGACAGACCTACACACACATGTTAACACCCCTTTTTGCTCATCCATTCCTGGCTCCTCAGTTAGTCTACTCTTTCCTCCAACCTGATGGACAGTTCGGATCATTCACCAGCTCTAAGTCCTGAGTTTGTTTGTGCTGCTGCGACTTGGACAATTCGACGTGTGTGTGTGTGTGTGTGTGTGTGATTGTGTGCGCCGAGTCCCTGAACCCTGGGATCGTGATGATCCAGATGATGGAGAATGATGATGATGATGATGATGATGATGATGATGATGATGATGATGATGATGATGATGATCACGATGATGATGATGATGATCATTATCATAATTATGATGATGATGATGATGATGATGATGATGATGATGATGATGATGATGATGATGATGATGATGATGATGATGATGATGATGATGATGATGATGATCACGATGATGATGATGATGATGATGATGATGATGATGATGATGATGATAATAATCACCAGCGGTGCCTGACGTAACATCGCATGAAAACCCATGACGGGATGTGTAATCAGATGAGGATGCTGCGATCCACATGCTGCGCCCTCCCTATTCGAGCAGCTCGCCCTTGCAGACAGGGGGGTCCGCCGCGGATATTATGATTTGAAGTGTGTGTTTGGGCGTGTGTGTGCGCCGGGCTGCTTTGGCGGCTGCTTTGGCCATGTTCTGGCAGCTTTGCTTTGGCCAATGTTTGTCCTACACTCACCCATCCTAAACCCGCTGTCGAAAGCGCTCAATGCACAGAAACAACAGAATCCACCTTATGTGTTACTTCGATGTTTGGCATCAAATTCTCGGGTCGCTGACGCTTGTTTCGGCAAACACGAAGTGTGGGCTACCTGGATCGAATCCCCGCAACTGTCGGCTGGAAGTATACCCATTGGCTAAGCATCAGAACCTGCGCGTGGCGCTCTGTTGCCCAGGCCTCAGACTTACTCGATGCTTCCGCTCCCTGCTTCGGCCAGTGAGGCTCACCATGCTCAGCCGCTGCGTGCTGCCTGCCCTGAGCCGGGCTCCGAGGTGTTCGAAGGTGTTTGGTTATAAGGCAGCATCAGGGCAAGGCTGGA